CAGGAGGAAGGAACAAGAGAGCATGGAAATAGGAAAAAGAGAAGCAGGGAAGAAGAGAGGGTGAAAGGGATAAGGGAGGGCCAGGGATTTAGCTCAGTGGTTCCACTGCTTGCCTCACAACCACAAGGACCCAAGTTCGATCCCCGGTACCAAAAAAAAAAAAAAGAAAGGGATAAGGGAAGAAGAAAAGAGGAGACAGAAAAGGAGCAAGGAAATAGGGAGGAAGAAAGGAGAGGAAAAAGAGAGAAGGCAGTAAGGGAGCTAAGAATGTAGGGCAAGGGGCAGGCAAGTAGAGATAATTGGCAGAGTGTGGGTAATTGTATTTATTTATTTACTTCCTGCGGTGCTGGGGATGGAACCCAGGTCCTTTGCACTGAGCTATGTCTCCATCCCTTTTTCATTTTTCATTTGAGACAGGGTCTCGCTAAGTTGCTCAGGCTGTGCTCAAACTTGTGATCCTCCTGCCTCAGCCTCCTAGAGTGTGATTATAGGTGTGTGCTGTACCATATCTGTCTCTCTCTTTTTTTTAGGGTTGTCTTAAGTAGATAATTTTTGACTCTGGGAAATTAAGACCTAAATGCTCATTATACAATTCTCTTTGCTTTTGTGTATGTTTTCACATTTTCTTAATATTTAAAAGAGGGAAGTCTATCCTCCAGAGTCAGTCAAATGTGGGCTCAAACACTAGTCATTACATATTGGCAGTCCTTTACCCTTTGTGAGCCTCAGGTTCCTGTCCTTTAACACAGATAAATAGTGGTACCATTGTGATGAGTTTTTACCACCCAAGGAGGTAACACTTCCATCTGTTGGAAATGTGGAGTGTACCATGCCTTATGTTTTACATATCTTAAAGTAACATCTTACAATCCTAGAGTCCAACGACTACACATGGCAACACAAGGTTCAGCAAGGTTGTGACACTTGCCCAAGGGCACACAGCAGATCTGGGTCCTCACATGGCAGAGAAAAGCAAGCTCCCCCATCTTCAAACCCAGGTCTGCTTGAATCCAAAGATCTACCTGGACAGCCACTGGTTCTACCCCCACCTCTGCCACTGATTCCCTTGGAGACTCCCATGCTAGTCAGGCTTAGAAAAGTGACATCACAGTAACAAACAGCCCCGGCATCTGGTGGCTCCCCTTCCTTGATCCTGGACAAACACAAACAGCAGAAATCATGCTACCTGATGTCTGAGGCCAGATCATAAATGCAGCACGGCTTGTCTCTCTTGGGAATATTCACCCAATTACACGTAGTGCTAAAAACAAATTACCACAAACTGAGAGGCTCCAAATAGCATGTGCACACCCATTAGGATGCTACTAGAAAAAACCCCAGAAAATGACAAGAGTTGTCAAGGACGTGGAAAAATTGGAAGCTTTATGCACTGTTAGTGGGAGTAACGATGCTGCTGCTATGGAAAACAGTATGGTGCTCCCCACCCCCAAATTAAACCCACACGATCCAGTGACTCCACTCTGAATAAGTATCCAAAAGAATCGAGGGCAGGGTCTTAGTGATATATATATATAGTGATATATATATAGTGATATATATATATATATTGCTGTTTACAGCATATTATTCACAGTAGCCAAGACATGGAAGCAACCCAAATGTCCAACAGATGGACAGATCAACAAACTGTGATGTGTCCATACAATGGAACACAACCCAGCCTTAAAAAGGAAGCAAATCCTGGCACATGTTGTAGTATGGATGAACCTTGAAAACATTATGCTAAACAATGACAAAAGGTCAAACCTTATGATTCTATTTATTTGAACAATCTAGAGCAGCCAAATCCACAGAAACAGAAAGTGAAATGGTCTTGCCAGGGGCTGAGGGGTGGGAAATGGGGAGGTTTTTATTTAATGGGTACATTTTTAGTTTTGCAAGATGAAAGAGTTCTGGAGATCGGTTTTCCGACAGCTTGAAAGTCCATAGTTCCAGATGTAAATTTTATGTTACCTATATTTTACTACCATTACAAATTTTTTTTAAAACACCCATAATGCCCATTTATCATAATTTTGTAGATGAAAAGTTTGGTGGGCTTTCTGGGTTCTCTGCATAGGATCTCAAAGGTCGAAATCAAAGTATTGGTCAAGCTCGTGCCTTCCTCAGGCTTGGGGTCCTAAACCAAGATCATTCAGTTTCCAGAAGTATCAGTTACTTGCAGTTTCGGGACTGAGGTCCCCACTGTCTTGCTGGCTCTTGGCTGGGTGGGGGGGGGGGGGAGGGGTGGGGTGTCACTTGTGACCCCTAGAGGCCACTCCAGGACCTATCCACATGGTCTTCTCCAACTTCACAAGCATTGCTGCAGAAAGTCCTGTTCATGGCTCAAATCTAACTTCACTTTTACTGCAGCCAGAGAAAACTGCTTTAAAGGGTTTGTACTGAAGCAGGAAACTTAGGGGATACCCAAACAGGACACTCTGACACACAAAGAAAGAGCATATCAGCTTTAATGCCGGTGGCTCAGTGAGTGACTCCTATCAGTCTTGAGAGCCCAGAATAGAAGTGTTTTTCTTTATATACCTCTTCTTACATTTATGAGACTTAATTCCATTGGAGTTTCCCTGGGAATAGAGCAAGCAGGATTTACACAAAGCAGAGCAGTGGAGGGATGAGGGAGAGCAAAGAGCTCTGGGAGGACTTCCTGAGTCCATTACGCTTCTTTGGTGACAGATTACAGAAGCTGTCATGGTTACTCAGGTGCATTCTACAAAAGCATAGTTACCCAGTTAATCCATAGTTGCCTAGTTTCATACAGAGGGGTGGTTTCCTCTCTCAGTACAAATGGATTAACCCCACCAAGATAATCTCCCTTCTGATGAACACAAACTCTACCACCTGGTAACCTTAATGGTATCTGAGAAATCCTCCTTGCCATGTAACGTATCATTGTGGGTGCTGTATTCCTTCATGTTCACAGTCCTGGGAATTAGGGTAGAATGTGGGGAGGCTGTTTTAGAATCTTGCCTATTGCAATCCAAGGCACCATGTGTTCTGTTACACACAGGTGTTCTGATTACAGCCCCAGCTAAGGTCTCAGCCAACAGCCTGCATCAACTGGCAGACAGATGTGTCTAACCTGCAGATAGATGGTCCAGCCCCCTGCTCTCAGAACACCCCAGCTAACTCCCTAGAATTTGTGGAGCAGAGACAAATTAGCCCCAAATTCCCTAAACAATTGTTTTATAACCAGAGGTGGTGTCATGTGCCTGTAATTCCAGTACTCCAGGAGGCTGAGGCAGGAGATTTACAAATTGAAGCCCACTTTGGGGAAACAAGCTGGGAAAAGCCTAGAAAGCTGCAAACAGAGTTTGATGGGAGATTCTGGTCAGAGCTCAGAAGACGAGACTGCTGATAGGAATGTGACACTAAAGGACGGGTTCATGAGGTTTCAGTGGGGAGCAAGGATTTCATTGGCAGCTGGACTAGAGGCCATGTGTGTTACACTCTGGGAAAAAAATCCATTTTGTCCATGTCCTGAGACTGTGGGAGGCTAAGATTAAGTATGGTAGATTAATTGATTGGGTGGAGGAAATTTCAAGGCAGCCCAACATCCAGATTGTGGAAATTGTTACTGCTGGCTACTTTTAGCCAGATTTATAGTGAGATTCAGGGACACACACACACACACACACACACACACACACAAATCTGATAAACTTAATTTTGGGCTCATAGGGAGCCAGGTATAAAATTGGAGCCAAAGGAGGTGTGATTGCTGTAGAGACTGGTGCCATTAAAAAGAAACTAAAGTGTCAACGTTTTACTTGAGAAGAGAGTCCCTGGACCCCTGCTCAAGAACCATCTTATACAGAATTGGTTTCCTGAGATTCATTTCACCATGCTCATCCATCCCAGCACTCAGAGGCCACTACAGCCATGGTCCAAGAGTGCCTGTCAACTGCTTTAGCTGGTAGCAGACTGTGTTATCCCTATGATACTAGTTTCATTGGCATGTAGAATTCAAAAGCCATGAGGTCAGAGAGGATTCTACCCAGATTTCAAAGGAAGGACTGGGAGGCTAGGTAAGGAGTCCCTGAGAGGACAGTGCGTGGAGCTGTGGAAATGAAGCCAAAGGTGCAATAGGGAATCCAGGAGATGCCAGGAATGTGAATTGTATGCCAAGAAAATCTGTAGACTGAGTGGAACCAGTCCAAAACAGATGCCATGTGGGCTACAACCACCAAGGTCAGAGGGGTGGGGCTGCCTATGCCCTTTGGAACTCACATAACACCACCATGTGTCCTGGATCCAGACATGGAGCTACAGGACTTAACGTTTGCCTTGCTGGGTTTTGCTCTTGCTTTGGTCCTATCCACCCCCCCACACACACACTGAGGACTGAACCCAGGGCCTTCATACTAAGCTACATCCTCAGCCCTTTTTAAATTTTTTTATTTTGAGACAAGGTCTTGCTAAGTCACTAAGTTGAATCTCTACTTTTGATTCTCCTGCTCAACTTCCCAGGTGTTGGAATCACAGGTGTGCGCCACCATGCCCAGGTAGTCTTATTCTTTTCTACCCCCCTATTCCTCCCGTTTGGAGTGGGAATGTTTATCCTGTGCCACTGTACTTCGGGATTATATTAACTTGTCTTTGATTTTTTTTTTTAGGTATCTGGGATCAAACTTGGGCCCTTGCGCTTGCGCAGCAGGCGGCGAAACCACTAAGCTAAATCCCCAGCCCCTGTCTTTGATTTTTTTTACAGGAGTTCACAGCTAAGCATTTGCCTTGAGTCTCAGAGTGGACTTTGAACTTGGACTTTTAGCAATCCTGGCACTGTTGAGACTTTGTGGAAGGGATTATTGTGCTTTGGTTGTATGCTGGATAGTTGTATCATATTAGGCAGAACTACAACATGGTGTTTATATGGAGATTAGGTATGGTTTAAGGCAATTATGTATCAATTTGAGAAGGGTTGGAATGTGACAGTTAAAATGGACTGGGAACTTGATTGGCTTGGGAGTTGCGCAGGGAATTAGTAAAACATACTTCTGGGTGAGTCTGATTGGGTCATGGAGGCATAACCTTAGATTTTACATCTGTAAAGACCTCCCTCATCCCTTCCGCCTGAGGGCTATTTCCTTGCTCTGCTTCCCAGCTAACAAGAACTAAGCAGCTTTGCTCCACCATCCCCTTTCTCCATCGCATTCCTACCTTGAAACTAGCTTACCATGGACTGAATTCTCTGAAATCATGAGCCACATAAATCATTTCCTCCTTTAAGTTGTGGGTGTTGGGTATTTGTTTCCAGCAATGGGAAAGATGACTAATACAACTTTGAACTACTGAATCAATGACCCCCTAAATACCTATCTCTACTTTGTTATACTGTATAATATTAACTATCTTATTGAGCCTGTCTCAGGGCCTTTGCATTTGCAGTTTTCTCTGCTGAAATGCCCCCTCCTCCACTCAGATATCTGCACAGCACTCTCCCTTCCCTTCAGGTCTTTACTCAAATGCCATCTTGCTGAAGCTATCCTACAAAAAACCAGACCTCTTGGCCACACTCCTAGTCCTCTTCCCTGTATTGTTCTTTCCATAATACTTATTGCTCTCTGGCATATTATACGTGATTTTTATTTTATCTATCCCCCTCACTATAACACAACCACCACAAAAAGATAGACTTTTGTATGTATCCCCAACACCTACCAGTAGAACTGTGCTTGATGCTTAGGGTATGATCAATAAACACTTGTTAGATGAATGGCGAATGGTCTGAGTTCTTTTGGCTGGGCTTTCTGTTACTTTCAGCTGAAACAGATGGTTCCTGGCATTCTGCCTACTGTGAGTTCCCCATTTTTTTTTACCTCTCTGCACAATCCTTTTTGTTTGGTGCTTACTCCAAAATGACTCCCACTTCAGACTGACATCTGATCCTGTATCCGCCTGGCTCCCAGACATTGTCATCGGTAGCACTCCTCACTCCAGGTCCCAGAATCCCTGGCTGAAGATAGGCCTAGCCCCTTCTGGCCTCACAGGTGAAAGCAGATTGTATCAGGGCTCTGTTTGAGGCTGCAACTTCAAAATAAAAAGGAAACTCAAACCACTTGGTGTTGTGAGACACAATTCACTTAATTTGGTTGCTGCTGGGAGAAAAAAACCCGACAAGAGGGGGATCCTCACCCCACCCAGCTATCTGCCCATCCTGGCCCAGTCAAGACTGGAATGGGCTGCTCTAAAAGCCTCGGGAGTGGGTGTATTGGGTCCTCCAGCCTCACCTTGGTTTCTAGGACTTTGCCGGAAGAGGAAAACAGAAAGAGGAGGATTTTGCTTCCCAGTGTTGGAGAGAACTTAGTCTCACGTTGGGGGTTCCCTCGTTTGAGGAGGTAGGCTTAGCTTTTGGGGCTCTCTGATCTTAAGACGAATGTGGGCATTTTCAATCTTGGGAAGAACAGAACGGTGTAGGGTGAGGAGGTTCGGCCTTGAGTACCCTTATCTGAGGACGCAAGGGTAGCTTTAGTGGAGCAGGAAGAAGCCTGGCCTCAGCGTGGAGTGAGCCGGTGGCCTTAGAAAGGGGGGAAGACAGCAGGGGATTCTGCGCCGATGCAGGCGGTCCAGCTTTTGGGGACCTTGCTACGAGGAAGAGGGCATAGCCTTGGGGAAGCTTAGTCTGAGGCTTGGCCTTTGGGAAGCAGAGTCTGAGAGAGCAGGCTCACCCCTGGTTCCTGACTTCGTGGATAGAAGTTTCCAGGCCCCAGGCGCGCCCTGGGGGTGGGGTGGGGGGATCCGTCTGGGCTTGGCATTCTCAGCAGAGCCTTGCTGCCCCCAGGGCCACCGCCAGCAGGGGCAGGGCCAGGCGGAGGCCGCCCGCGGCGCTGGAGAGGCACTGGTTCTCCAGGACAGCGCGGCGGCTGGGGTTGCAGTTAGGCCGGCGGGACAGCCGGAGGCGGCGGAGACCAGAAAGGTCCGAAAGAGTCCGGAGCTTCTCGGTCACTGCCCGGGAGCTGCACAGGTCTCGGGAGCCGCAGCCGCGCATGCTCACGTTCTGGCCGCCTGCAGAGACGGGAGGGGAGGGGCGTGAGGAGGGGACCTGGGGACGCCCGCGGGCGGAAGGCGGCACCTGCACACGCACCGGGCCCACTCGACCTCCCGGCGCCCGAGTCCCTGTCCTAGGTGAGAACTCACCAGGAACGTTCTTGTCCCCTGACCTGGTGCTGGTCACCGCTGTCCCCTTCGTTACACATATTAACAAAAAGGATCCGGAGGTCACTGATTACACATCCTCCAGCTTGTCCAGCGCACAGTGTTTCCAACTTTTTTGTGTGCTTCTCAGATTCATATATCTGAGGCGAAGTGGTATATTTATGTTTGAATATAAATATGCAAATGTACCCAGCCTATTAAGAACATGATGGGGATATGTAAATAAAATGGTCTCTTTTTTTAAATTTAAAAATTCTCATAATTGGAGTTTTCTTTTAAGTCCTTATCTTTTAGAGAGATACAGATGGGTGAAGTGTTGTGATATCTAAATTTGCTTCAAATATTAAGGTCAGTGGGGAGACATAATTATCAGAGGGCAGTGAGGAGTATATACGGGGTTTATTAAACTATTCTGCTTTTATTTATATTTGAAATCCCCTATATATTTTTTTTAATTAAAAAGAAATGTCAAGCTGGGTGTGGTGTACACACCTGTAATCCCAGCGCTCTGGGAGGCTGAGGCAGGAAGAAGTCAAGTTTGAGCCCAGCCTAAGCAATTTAGTGACTTAGTGAGACTCTGTCTCTAAATAAAAATAAAAATGGGCTGGGGGCTGGGAATTTAACTCAGTAAATGCCTGCCTCAAAAGTGCAAGGTAGGGCCGGGGATTTAGCTCAGTGGTTCTGGTGCCTGCCTCGCAAGCATTAGGTCCTGAGTTTGATCCCTGGTAACAACAACAACAAAAAAAAGTGCAAGGTCAAGAGTTCAATGCCTAGTACCAAAAGGGGGGGGGGCTGGGGATGCTGCTCAGTCAAGGGCCCTGGGTTCAATCCCCAGTACCCCCAGAAAAGAGGAAAAAAAGAAATGTCAGACTCAGGGCTATGATTTATATTTGTCTCATTTTGCCCAGAACAGGTGTACGTGCCCTCAGAGTTGTGTTTGTGAATCACTGCACAAACCCACTCTCATGAACATCCCCCACACATGCCCACACATGTGCACACACATGCATATGTACACACACCTCACACACACCACAAATGCTCACGGAATTTCATCAATTCCAAGATGGACAACCCCCCCCCCCCCACACACACACACACTAACATTTCTCAACAGAGCTGTCTTCCTCCTTCCCATTGACAGTCTCTGCAATGCCACAAGTAGCATTTGCTGTGTTCTGGACTGATGCACTCGAGTTAATGGTAATTACCAGCTGCACATGGCCATTGTGCATTTGAGATGTAGTGAGTCTGAATTGACATGTGTTGTGAGTGTAAGATAAACACCAGATTTCAAAGACTTAGGAAAAACTGGATGCAAGATATCTCATTTAAAATCCTGTATATTGATTGCAATGATCACTGGAAATGATCACTGTTGGGTTAAATAAAATGTTATTAAATTAATTTCCCATTACTTTTTTGGGGGGGTTGGGGTTTTTTTGTTTGTTTTTTTTTGGTACCCGGGATCAAACTTGGGACCTTGTGCTTGTGAGGCAGGCAGTGGAACCACTGAACTAAATCCCTGGCCCTAACTTTTTACTTTTTTAATGAGACTACTACAAAACTCTTTTTCTTTTCTTTCTTTCTTTCTTTCTTTTTTTTTTTTTTTTTTTTGTACCTTGGGTTAAACTCAGGACCTTGGGCTTTCCAGGCAGATGCAGCACCACTGAAGTACATCCCCTGCCCTATATGTTTATTTCTTTCCATTTATTTGGGATATTTTCTGC